GAGGGGTACGGTGGCGACCATGTGACGGATGTTCTAACGCCGACTGTCGTTGGTAATTTAGTGCTTGGTTTTTTTTCAGTTATTTCTGGGAGCCAGATTAATCCCACTTTTTGTGTCACTAAGTGCAAATCAGATCAATTGAGCCTATCCTGAAGCAACAGCCTTTCCATTTGTGGACATGTTATGGCATTTTTATTTTTATTTCTTACATGATCTTTATTTCAGCCTACATTATCCTACGTCACAGTATGTCCTAATTAAATGCACTTAGAACAGAAGGCAAATCAAAATCGCGTTAAAACGAATGTAAAAGAGTAAAAGATGTCCTCCGCTCGATTACATTGACGCTCGTTCTGTTCAAGCGAGCATTGTGAGTAGAATATCCAATTAATTACTTTGAAACAGATACACCATCATGAAACTTTCCAACCCTATTCATGTATGCGTGGATGCAGGTCATATCTTCCAGGCAAGATTGGTGGAGAGCTTATAATGAATCAAGGAAAGATACACGGTGGGATAGGTTGCTTCTGAAAAGAATTTATGCCTCACCTGAGAAAGCACGGCAACTAATCATGACCATCCTAGCTCTGATTTCTTTTAGCCTCGGCACTGATCAATAGTACACTGTTTTCTAGTTGAGCAACTACGAGGTTGTTAACAGCAAGACTTATTCACTACAATGCTGGCCGACGTTTTGGCCGTTTCGGCTTCAGAGCCGCTTTGTTGTCCTTAAGTATTGACAACTAGAGAGTACTAACATTTATTACTGGAGACCAGCCGCACAATCGTACATGGATCTAAAAAGCAAGGAGTGCATAGTTCTACATAGGCACAGAGAAAACCTCGTGTTTGCTCATAAAGAAAGCTGTGAATTACTCATGACTATATACAGTTTCTAGGAAACAGGCGAGCAGACTAGTCGTTAATGATGTTTCGGCCTTTATTTATTCCCCACTCTTTCTTCACGGTTTAGTATAATCGAAACCTTAAGTGTCTTTGGGGCTTGCGATTACACTTTCCGTGGACTCACGTGTTATCCACTGGACTAACGAGTCTCTCACTTTGCGTTTCTCTCAGCCTGTTTTTTACCCTGCTGCTCTAACATTCATCGATTACAAAGCTCTGAGTAATCAAAGTGTCCTAATCAGTAAATTCACAGAGAGGCTAATATGAACTACTCAACTATTCTATTAAGACAAACGATAAAACTCTCGGCGTTGATAAATCCCTGAGGGATGCATATGCATTCGACTTCATTGGGAATTGTTAGAGGCGACTAAGTGCATATTTCGTCTGTACAATGAGCAGCGGTGGCTTACCGATGTATTGAACCGGCGTTTCTATCCTCCCAGATAGATTTGACATCAATTTGCCGACCCCGTAGAGAGGGAAGGCTTGGTGAGCCTGGGGGGGGGGGGGGGGGGGGGGNGGGGGGGGGGGGCGGCAGGATAGATCGTAGGTGCATTGCAGGGCGACTCCAACCACTGCGCTTCACGGAAAGGTTTTACCATGATGACAACGTTGCCCTGAAATTGTTCTTCATCGTTCTTGATAACGCCATAAGAAAAGGAAAATGCGAGGATATAGCAATGAAACGTACTTCTAACAACTGTATTATTTTGCTTTGTTGATAACCTGTATCATCTGCCGTCCTATCGGTCATGAGTAACTCAAGCGGGTGCCAATAAGTCTTATATTTCTACATGTTACACGGAAGAGTAGTTTAGTGGATTCTGTTGACTCTAAAGAGTTATTGAGCATCATGCCTTCCTTCAAAAGTTTTCGTGAAGAACTCCGCTCATCGGATCGGTGTTATTGCCCCTGTACTTTTGGCATCCCTAGAAACTCGGTAATCAACGGCTTTTGTCCATCTGCTGTGATTCATGCGCATTACGTGTTTCGCCCACCTTATCTTCGACAGTTTGGGTATAGAACAGCATGTCTAACTTTTGATCGCTGAAATGGGTCAGAGCTTCGGATGCCTTCCTTCGTTGTTTGACACGGGTAGTCATAACATCGTCCTTTCGACTACGCGTTCTATAACATTAACTGATTGTTGGCTCTGCCTACATAGTAACCAGGTTTCTGGCGCATGTGTTAAAGCAGAGAAAATCTTGGGGTCAAGAAGTTGACAAGGAATTGGACGCTCTTTGTTGTTCTCACTTCATCCTGGATGCTCTCGCTGCTTCCTGCTCAACTCTAGAATTAAGTCAATCATCATTTTGATTTCTCACCCAAATTAGACGTGGCTGGAGTATTCGGATATATACGCTTCCTTGAGTGTGAGTGGAGCATACGAAACCAATCCGATCCTCATGAACATGGTTTTTGCGACATTTAGTAAAAGGTCAATATTTTCACAGGCGCTACCAATGTCGGCAAGCAATCGTTCTGCTTAGCTAATGTTTGATTTTATAAGAGCGATGTCATCAGGAAAGCGATGACGGTGTAATTGCTTACTTTAGATGTTGTACCACATCAGTATTTGCATGACGTTCTTGAGGGTGACAGTGAATAATCTTGAAGTGATGGTATCTCTTTGCCTATCCTCTGTTTTGACGTCGACGTTGATATCGCTGTAGAATGGTGATTTGTTTTGAAATTTTATATAGCTCACGAAGAATCTTTGTGCACTGAACACGGACTCCCTGACTATCAAGGGCTTCCTTGACTGCTTCTATCTCAACTGAATAAAAAGCATTGTAATCACTTTTTATTCACTGCGCATTCTTTTCTCACGCCGGAGTATGATGATAAATACAGCTAAAATGATGATGAGATATATGCAAAAACCCGGACTGCAGGTGTCCGCGAACGGGATCCAACCTAGTTATTACCCTTTCCAGTGGCTGACGTGTTCACCATCACGCCATGCGTGTCCTGCGCTTCGCCTTTCTCTCAGCTGTGTTTTTGGACAAAAGCTTTCCTTGTGTCAATTAAAGTGAGCGGTATCTTGCACTCTCGCGACACTTCAATGAATCTTGTTATCGTTTAGATGTAGTCCATCGTACTGAATAGATTTCGAAACACGGCTTGCTCAAATGGCTGTCCTTCGTGGTGTTCTGCCAATCCTGTTGAAGATGACTTAAGCGATAAATTACCAGACGGCAGACAGCAAGCAGATTGGGCTGTAGTTGCCGATATCGTGGAAGTCACTGTTTCTGAACAATAACACAGTGTTAAGGGCGCGTATGGTGCAGTGGTCAGAGGACCCTGCAGCACACACGTGGAATCGATTCCCGAGCCCACGACCCACCAAGCCTTCCATCCCTTCAGGGTCGGCAAATTGGTACCAGACTTGTCTGGGAGGCGAACAGCACTGGCTCGATACATCGCCGGTCATTGTAGGCCACCGCGAGTCATTGTAAAAGCTAGATATGAATTTAATCACCTCCAAACGATGCTTGGTGAAGTCGAATGTATGGTGCATCCCTCAGGAATTGGTCAACGCCGGGAGCTTTATACTTTGCCCCTTTTTAACACAGTGTTGCTGAGATATTTGCAAAACTCCTGAGCCCTGGTGTCCGCAGTGGGGGCCAAACATGCTATTACCCTTTGCGGAGGCTAATGCGTTCACCACCACACCATGCGATTCCTTCGGTTCGCCTGTCTCTCAGCTAGTTCTATCGATCTTTGCTACAGCAATCACCCGTCAACGGGATTGATCTGGATAGCCCAAATCACTGAACCCATCATTGGGCATTAAACCCAGTTAAGCTGAGACTATAGTTGAAATTCACAATGTTGACTTCTCTATTTACTGCCTTTTACTAGTTTTCACGGCAGGGTATTATTTGTGAAACAACCGTGATGATGCTGAGGTGACAGTGATCGATAGAACTAGCTGAAAGACAGGCGAAACGAAGAACCCGCATGGTGTGGTGCTGAACGCGTTACTCCCCTAAAAGGACAATAGCGCGTTCGTTCCCCACCGCAGACACGTGCGGTCCGGAGTTTTGCAAATATCTTAGCATCATTAGAGTTACTAAGGATAATGTTAATGAAATCTTGTTGGTTACTTCGCACTTTTATCCTTTTTTAACTAGGAGACCTCCATCAAGACAACGGATAGCACAGTAGTAGTTATCCTTTTCATGAAACGGACAGTCCGACTTACCCAAACTCTGATTCAACGCCACCCGTACCAACCCAAGACTCTTACCTTTCCGTGGTCGCGAAATTGGTGCCAGATTATTCTGGGACAAACGGAATCACTCCAATCTATGATGGAACGTCGCAGCACGGTTATCTCAGGATTCTAGGGAGCATCGTGTTGACTAGCATTCAGCGGTATCTGTGCCAAAGGCGAAGAACTCCTTGAACGGCAGCCGAAGCCACATGGAAGAAGGTTCGAAAACCTTTGTAGATGGTGGAAACGAGGAAAGGAATCGAATGCAAAAACTGCTGTGATCCGTATATTGTGATATATGGGATGTTGGGTCATGTAATAAAAGAAAAAGAAGAAAAGCTCCATCATGGAAAACCAACCACTTGGAACTTCATTGTGACACATAGTCATGTAATTTGTTGAACATAAACGTCTACAGATCTAAGTCTGAACATTTCCTATAAGTTTAGAATAGTGACCAGAACAGAACGAGAAATGAACTTGTGATGATGTGTTAAACCATGTGGAAAATATACAATAAGGCGATTGAAGCAATCATCATAGCAAGAGAACAGGATCGTTTTCATCTAAACATAACTATCAACTTTAGTGCAAAGCAATATTAGCTAAAAACAGGAAGGAATAGAGCTGCTGTACAAATATGTATAAAACCCAAAAATTTGATGCCAAAATTAAGAGAACAATATTGAGATAGGGTAAGATACAACCTGGACTTCAATGAAAATTTAGAGAGGTGACAAACAAAAATTTGAGGACATCCACCAGTTCTGATTGCTCTTAGAGGTTTCAAACAAAGGTTTTTTAAAAGAATTTTAGAAGGTATGGTAACTGGGCAGAATGAACACTTCCACACATGTATTCTTGAGTTTTAAAACCTCTCATCTCCACCAATGACCTTGTCCTCGTTGTTCTCATGGAAATACTTCATTAACGCTTTGCTCATTCCCAGTGCCTCTACCATTGCGAGAAAATGAGCTGCAATCATTGTCCGACTAGGAGAAACATATTAAAATAAGAAATAAAAACAGGGAAATGGATATCAACTTTAAAGGCGTATAAAAGTGCATAAAACTATCTAACACCTCCTCACAATACAGAGTTGACTACTTTTCGCTGGTCCATTCATCTAAAATTCGGAATGCTTACGTGGTGGGGGAGTGTTTGCGTAAAGGTCAGCGAAGTCCTGCTCGCTTCGTGGCCGACCGATCACCCAGCCAAAACGTGGAAAAATCTAAACGAGATCATTTTAATTCAGTGCTTCTCGTTAAGAAATTTCCAAATTCTACCGTTGAGTGTACATGACAATACAGTGGCATCGCCTTCCACAACTCAGACTCAGAGACTCCAAACAACAGCGGAAGAGCTTGTGGGAAGTACTAAAAACGTGAATAAATAACATATCGTCGCTCCACTTTCATTCACATCGTGAAAGATTGCAATAAACTTAACGTTAAAACAACTGCGTTATACAAACATGTCTTAACACGAAAAAGTAATGTACAAAAGTTAGCAAATATCCGTTTTTAAGAAGGGACAGAAATTCATCACATCTACTATGTGGATTCCAGTACATATTGCATTCATTTCATCACAACTACCGTTCACTAACTTCGAACATTTGGCGCGTTCTTTCCGCCGGTGCTTGAGGATTTCACTGCAACCTCGAAGATAGCCGCAGCTAAGGCGTTCCCACGTGGACTGGTGTACAACCTTGGGAATGGGGTCGAATCAGCGCCTGGCTTCCTGATAGACCTCATCATTAACTACTCGCTCTCCCATCTCTCAATGAAAGTTCTGGTCCACAAAGCACATTATAAGAAAAATAGCACCAGAAAAATGGGCTTAACAACAGTCTTTAACCATGCAGGGGCTCTGTGTTCAAAAAGAATTCTTCTGAAAAGTCCCAAGCAAATTCTTTGTCAGCGTTGTTGTCAAAGTGCTGACGTCGAAACATTAGCCGAATGAATTTTTCTTTAACAATCTCGCCTTTGCATAATAGTCGAGGAAAGTATAAATTATTTTTGTCGATTTTTAATGAAGGCCGTCTTGAAAAATATTGTTTCGCCATGAGCTAGCTGATATAAAACCGACTGCTGTAGGTTGAATTAAAGAAGTAGAGACCACATTAGAAGACGGGAATTGAACAGAAACTGTCGTATACAAGACAATGCCGACTCAGATTCTCCATTCGATGGGCGCTACAGTTCATTGGATTCGACTCGATGCAACAACGAACAATCACATTGCAAGCATGACCATTTGTGGATCATCGAATCGGACCAATGATCGTTTGAAGAAGACCAAGCGTCGAAACGTTAGCCGAATATAACTTCTTACCAACCTCGTGTTTGCCTTAATAGTACAAGAAGGCGTTATCGGGTTTTTTTTAAGCAGATACGTTGTTTACTACTTTGCAGGCCATAAAAACGCTATTGTTATTATACATTTGAGATTATCCTCTGAACGGAGGTTAGGCTTCCACTCTCGGATCAACTTGGGGTGACAACGGTCGTTCATGAAACCCAATAACCCTGGTATATTAGGCGCTTCACAAATTCACGAAGTCTAGTTTTTTTTTGAGGCGGAAGTGTGGTAAAACGACAAATTTCTACCGTGGGCACTGTCGGCCGAGATGTATGGCTCACACGGCCCGTTTTTCGCCCAAAAAATTAGGTTCACGAACTTCCTTCACGAGTAACAGCTTTTGAATCCCAGTATGTATACCACATTTGTACTTGAATAGCAGAGGATTTGCGAAATCCTCACCCGCAGTACTCTCGCCGGCGCAGATATCTTACTATTTTCTCCTATCGGCAACAAGCTCTTATCGCAGCACTACGCAGAACGAAGAAATTTGTCCGAAAAATAATTTCCGTAAATGTAGTGATAACTATAGATTGAACACAACTAACATCTGACAAAATCAACAAGCGGAAAAAATGACAAATGTGAATGATACTTAGCTATACTCATAAACTTACTCATACTGAAATCCACAAACGTGGATTATATGAGCCATACAATCCCGAATGTGCCGAAGAATACATTAATCGCTACTAACGAAGTAGAAATTTAACGCAATCTGGTGCGCCGAAAACTAGGCTTCAGTAGCCCACCAGACATCCGAATTTTCAGCAGCTTCTCGGTTGTTGAAGATTTTTTTCCATTAGCGGTCATTTCTCAAGGTGATTGGAATAGTTGGGATCTGTTAAGGAAAAGCCTTTCGATTATATGAAACATAGAGGTTTCCATTCTTTCTTCCGGATCTTTCAACATTTACTGTGCTTGTTGGGTAACGTGCGCGTAGACGTTGTCGTTCAGCAGAAATTCTCACTTTCTATAGACCAGTCTCAACTGCAGACGTTGCAGTTATTGGTCGGTTTTGTGGATTTCCTGACAAAAATCCTTATTGTAATGATTTTCTAGCGCTTAATGAAATTGTAGTAGACAATTTCGTCTGCTGAAGTAGTCAGTACAACTTCTTATGATACAGTCTTGATTTGGAGAAAAGTATTTCGGCGTTTCACCTTTCTCAACCAGCAGAACTCCCTTAACTTTAGTACAGAATCCAACTTGTCGCATGTCGCAATTCAAATATGAAATAAGTCGTTTATGTTGCAACAAAGGAGAACATAACGGATCCTGAAACTCGAATTGTTGTGTATCGACTACTTTATTTAACGTCTTCAAAGAGGCTGTCCGCTGCCATTGTGGGATGAAAACGATTGAAGGCATAACTTTTGACATCATAGTCACGCTATATTCTATTCATATTACAAATCATCACAGCTATCATTTCCAAAGCTCTCATCTTCACCATTAAAATTTTCAACTAAAATGTAATATTGCAAACCATTTTCGCGGTCATTCGAATACTTTTCAACTTCTTCAATTTTCCACTGCCACTGTAGTTTTTGAATTTAGCATTTCTAATGATGCTGAGATATTTGCAAAACTCCGGACCGCACGTGTCTATGGTGGGGAACGAACGCGCTATTGTCCTTTCCGGGGAGTAACGCGTTCACCACCACACCATGCAGGTCCTTCGTTTCGCCTGTCTCTCAGCTAGTTCTATCGATCTCTGCCATCAGCAAACACCCGTTAGCGGGATTGATCTGGGGAGCCCAAATCGGGAACGAAGCCAGCTAAGCCGACGCTGCACTTATAATCACAATTTTAACTTATTATTTACTGCCTACTCTTTTTAAGGCAGGATCTGAGAGAGACAGGCGAAACGAAGGACCCGCATGGTGTGGTGGTGAACGCGTTACTCCCCGGAAAGACAATAGAGCGTTCGTTCCTCACTGCAGACACCTGCGGTAGGGAGTTTCGCAAATATCTCAGCATCATTAAAGTTATATTTCGCAATGTATACCCTGCCGTTAAAAAGAGTAAGCAGTAAATAATAAGTTAAAATTAGCATTTTAATTTAAAAACTCAACGTAATGAATTACTGCATCATCAAAGCCGTGTGTATTCTAGGGTGCTGAACTACGATGTAGAGCAAGCAGTCATCCTCTATCAGCATGTACTCTCGAGCTTACCAGCGGCTCCATATACTCCTCCGAAAACCTATCCAGAAGTAAACCAACGGTACCGCAGAGCTTGCTGACTAGCTCTTGGCTGTTTTTTTTTGCCGTTGGTCACTCCAGTTAATCGGCGGCTAGCAAAACTACAAATAACAGGTGATCTAGAATGTTCAAATTAAATGCGATCATTCTTTACTTCTTCGATTTCTCTGTAGTACTTCGTAAAGCTGATGTCAGTCACAAATTTGATTTCTGTCTTGATTATCAACAGAAGCAGATAAATATGACCCATACTAGGTCTCACATGCATGAGTATATTTGTACGTCATCCGTAGTACAGTTTTGTTTTTTCAGAACGTCAACCGATCTTAAGCAACAATTTTTAGCTATCTTATTCAAAATATCTTACTAACCCTTCTTCCTTTAGCACGACGCAGGTCCTTTGGCTGAACGGTTGCTATTTTTCCATCGATATCTATTAGCCGATTTCCGTATATTTCATCGCCCAGTATAGGACACAGCATATGGGAAAACATCACACGTGGAAGATGACGGGCAACTAAAAACTAAGAATTAAAGTGCAGACAGAACAAGCACACACAGAAACAAATTTCGTGTCTTGAGTATTTTATTATTTTTTTTTATTTATTAGTTGTTTTACAAAATTCAATTTCACAGGTTAGGTAGGTTGCATGTGGCCTCAGCTACAGCTTGAAGACTTTCAGTCTTCTTCATAGTGCCGTTTCATGCTGATTAAAGCGATTCTCGCTTGAATCCTAGGCCTTCTGTGGTAGAGTGTTACCAGATCTGGTTCATGAGCAGTCTCCTGCTTCTATACACCTACTACACCCCTATAAATGCGGATAATTAACGTGAACTGATGGACCACCCGTTCATTATGTATAAGATAGCTCGGAAATTAATGCAGGATTTACAGTTTTTATTTTCCTTGTATACTTTCGCACTGTGTACTCAAATTATAGCAAAAATTGCATCTACAAACTTTATAAGTTGGAAATTGATGTCAAGAAAACAATTTGGACAAACCGACTTCTACGAATTCAAACCCTGTCGTGGTGAAGCGTAAACAGTTCGAAACATTAATGAGGTATGGAGCCAGGGAAGTTTAATGCTGCTTAGTGCAACTCAAAAAACTCGCAGTGACAAATTAGAACTCGAAGACAAGGAAAGTTGCTGACGACCTCTGCCATTGATGACGATGAATTGAAGGGTTCGGTGAAAACAAATATGCGCACAAGTGTTCGGTAACTTGCAGAACTCGGTGGGAGGATGTCAACCACTCTATAGAAAACTAAAAGTCGTAAAAACTCAACAAATGAGCGCCGTATGAAATGACTACATGTCACACTACCGACGCACTGCCACAATTCGCACTATTGATCGTTGAAAGGTTGAATGAAATAAGCTACGAAACCATGCCTCATTCATCATACTCGCCAGAACTCTGACGTACTGACTACCATTTTTTCAAGTATGTGTCTAGTATCTTTACTTCCTGTTATACCTTTTTATTTTCTGCCTACTATAATTTCGCGGCAGGATACTAAGCGAAATACAACCACAACGTTGCTGAGACATTTGCAAAACCCTGGACCGTAGGTGTCTATGGTGGGGAACGAACGCGCTATTGTCCTTTCCGGGGAGTAACGCGTTCACCACCACACCATGC